GTCCAAAGAGCCATTTTCAGGGGGCCGCAGCCACAAGCTAGGGCTTGGGAGCTTCAGGCTCGTTGTCTGTGAGGGTGGTGTCACCCTAGACAAGGTGACAGCAAAGTGGGAGGCTCTGTCCTTGGGGAATCGGCCGCACAAAGCCCCGGATGCCTTTGGCTGGGGCTGGTGTTGGTCCATGGGGGCTGGAGAAGGGATGCTGGGGTCTGTTCCCTGTGCTGCCACGGCTGCCCCAGGTCCCGCAGGGCTGGTGCTTTCCCACCCTACTGTGGATGTCACCTTTTTGGGGATGCAGATGCCACTTTGCTCACCAGAGTCCCCACCCCTGTCCAGAGCTGCCTCTGTGTCACTGAGCCTTTTGGTGAACGGATACAAGCAGGATTTAGAGAGTCACAGGGTTTGGATTGAGTGGGGAGAGATCTTGGTGCAGAGACTGTGGGAGAAGTTGGCTGCCCTGGGTCGGCTGAGGGATTCCCGGCTCCCTCCCACCCTCCAGGCCACTGGCAACCACAGACTCTGCGTTTAGTGCCGTGTGTGCAAGCTGACAGACACAAGAGGGGAGGTTTAGATTAGATATTAGGAAGAAAATCTTCATTAGGAGGAAATTCTTTGGTGTGAGGGTGGTGAGACAGTGTCCCAGGTTGGCCAGAGAAGCTGTGGCTGCTCCTCCCTGGAAGTGTTGAAGGCCAGGTTGGATGAGGCTTTGAGCAACCTGGTCTAGTGGAAGGTGTCCCTGCTGCTGGCAGGGGGGTTGGGACTGGATGAGCTTTAAGGTCCCTTCCAACCCAAACCAGTCTGGGATTCTGTAAGTTTGCTGCTCAGAGCTGTGATTTCTTTTGTCCATTGGGCTGATGGTGACGGTGGCTTTTAGAGGTGATGTGGGGATGTGATTTACTTACCGGCTTTGCGTCCCAGTTATGTCAGAAGTAGCTTATCTGCTCTTACATCCTGGCTGTAGAGATCAAGCAGGGTTCTCCCTCTCAGTCCTTATGGGTTTTGGGCCAGGCTGAGATGAGTCTGAATTCTCCCTCCTTGCCAGCCCTGCCAGAAGTGTCCTCTGTTGTAGGTGCTGTAGGTGATACTGTGGCTTTGATGTTAAAGGGGAGAGAGCTGTGTGGAGCTGCAGTTAAACCAGCTGGAAGAACTCAGGGCTGGCTCAGGTTGCACATCCAGAATTAGCAGAGTCCAGGGAAGCCTCATTTAACCCAATGCTGTTCTCCAGCCTGTAAAACAGGGGTACCCAGCTCAGAATGGTGCCAAAATCGTACCAAATTCTCTGTAACACCCTGAGAACGTGTGAAAATGAGCTTGGAATGAAGTTGCCTGTTTGGGATAAACACTTGATGTGCACAACATGAACAAACCATCCCTGTCCTGGTGTGTTTTCAAGAACTTTCCTTTCCATTTCAGAGCACAATGTTCCTGGTCGGACTCTCGGGTGGAATTGCGTCGGGGAAGAGCACGGTGGTGGCCGTGCTCCGGGAACTGGGCTGTGCTGTGATTGATGCCGATGTTATTGCCAGAGAAGGTGAGTTTGGTGTCGTTGATCTTCTTCCCTGAGGTTCCCCTGACAGCTGGGATTGATGTGGGGGAAGCACAGACGGCAGAGGGTGCTCTGGGTACGTGAGATAAATGTTTCTCTCCCATTCCCCAGTCGCTGAGGCTGCGTGGAGCAGCTTTCCCAGGGGGATTGGAACTAGGAGATATTTTTAATAAAGAAAAAAAACCCCAAAAGATCGTGTCCTAATAAGCACCACGTGTCCTAATAAACACCATGGGGAGGTCTTGCCCTGAGTTTCCCTCTCCTGGAGTGCAAATGCAAAGCTTTGAAAGTCAACTCCAGGTGAAATAAATGCAGTTGTCTGTAAAGTGGGTTCTCTTGGCTGATCTGATGTCCCCCCTAAGCACCAGGACACCCATCCTGGGACATGGGGATCACTAACAGGCTTGAAAGAGAATTTCCCTCTGTTGCTTGGTTGTAAATACTGAGAGATTGGTCCAGAAAATTACACCTGTCTTAATGCATTCCAAAAAAAAAAGCAGCTCCAAATATCCCAGCTCAGAGGGAATTGGATCTGTGGTTCTGCACAGCACACCTGCCTCTGGCTGCTCTTGGCAACGTGCCGTCCTGGCTACAGAAAACACCCACAAATCCAGATCTGTTGTCTCAGCAGGACTGGAGCAGCCCCTGCTCTCCCTGGTTCCCTGTGTGATGCAGGGTGAGATGTTAATCCCCCCGTACCGCCGGGACAAGGAGCAGAGCAGCTGCTGATTGTGTATGCAGAAGGTTTCGGGTCTGCAGCTGTGCCGTGTTGAAACGCCTGCGCTTTTCTGTTTGGTGAAGAACTTCCCCTGTAGCCACTCCAAGCTGTGACACTCTGAACATTTTATTGCTCCATAATTCCCCTCGAGGTGCAGAAAATTTGCTAAAAGGCCTCAGAGACGATAGTAAAACACTACAGATACTCCAGGTCTTTTTTTTCTACCAATCACTTCATTTTTCTCCAATTCCTTTTTTATATGTGTGTGTTTGCTCTCCGGATTTCACCCATCCTGAAACTGCCTCAATGTGGAATTCCACGGGAGAAAGAAATTAGTCTTAAAGACTTTTATTAGGTTGGCCTGAGGTTACAACCTGTGGCAATATTCCTGGATTTTGGAGAGAAAATGATCTACGGTTTGTCATTCTCTCTGGTTATCCTCAGCTTGATTTTAATTATGGTTTTATTACCCCATCCTTTTTGTTGGTGATTTTTTTTTTTGGTGGCTTTAAAATGATGTGCTCGTGTAACATCAGAGCCCCTGCAAATACCTATTGGGAATTGATCTCTTGGAAGGTTTCTGTGTTTATTCTCCTGAAGAATTTGGTGACTGAGGTGAAAGACAGTGAGGAAAAAAAAAACCCCAAAACCTCAGTAGCAGCAAAGCCAGCTTGTAGCAGCCAGGCTGGTGCTGAAGTTTTCAGCTAAAATTAACCTGAGGCTGGTCCTGGTCCTTTTAGGATCTCCCTGCTTGACTCCTCACCCTGCAGACAGTGGGAATCAGCTCCGTCCCTGCCCGTGCCGTGGCTGGTAGCTGTCAGCGAATCCGCCCAACCCTCCCTGCTGACTTCTAACCCCCAGCAGCAGCTGGGTTGTGGCGCTGAATTAATGTTTGCAGGATATTTCGATCTCTCAGGTGTCAGCCCTCAAAGGGACCTTGGATTGAGAAGGTTTGGGGGTTTTGTTGGTTTTTTTGCAGACGTGTTCCTGCGGCACCGATGCCAAATGTCTGCTGGGCTGCGGCGCCGAGTCGCGCCCGTCTGGGTTCAGCATGTGTTGGCGGGCAGATGTGCTGCCTGTGAGGAGAAAGAGCTCAGTTATTTAACAAACAAAACTCATTTGAGGACAATCACTGATGCAAACGCTGCCTTGTGCTGCAGAACTGGCTCTAACCTCTGGCTGTTTGATGTTGTCAGTGGTGCAGCCCCACTTCAAGGCCTATTGGCAGATCGTGCATCACTTCGGCACCGGGATCCTCCTGGAGAACGGAGAGATAAATCGTGAAGCTCTAGGAAACATTATCTTCTCCCACCCTGAGAAGCGGCAGCTGCTGAACTCCATCACCCACCCAGAGATCCAGAAGGAGATGCTGAAGCAGATCTTGAAATATTTTGTGCTAGGTAAGAGACTGGGCAGTTCTGGCATCATGAAATCCCAGAATGGCCTGGATTGGAAAAGCCCTTTAAGCTCATGGAGTCCAACCATGAACCCAACACTGACCAGTCCCCAACCAACCCATGTCCCTCAGCACTATGTCTACACGACTCTTCAATCCCTCCAGGGATGGGGACTCCACCACTGCCCTGGGCAACCCCTTCCAATGCCTCAGAACCCTTTCAGCAAAGAAATTCTTCCTCACATCCCATCTCAACTGCCCTGGGCACAACTGGAGCCCATTTCCTCTTGTCCTGTCCCTTGGGCCTTGGTTGAACAGACCTAGTGTGTGTCCTGGCACCTCTGCTCAGGCAGGAGCCATCCCTCCTCACTCTGCCTTTGGTTTTAAAGTGAGGAGAGGGACGAGGAAGCAGAAAGGGAACCGATGTTGAGTGATGGCCTTTGTGCTCTGCCACCGCTGGCCTTTCCCGCTGGCGTTTGGAGGATTCATTCCTGCCTTTCACTGCTGCCCTTCACCACCTCCTTCTTCTGTGCTTTAAAGTACGTCTGTGGGGCCTGAGGAAAAGCATTGTGAGGCCTCTTCTGAGATTACTTGCTGGATAATGTCATCCCTTCCAAAATATTCATCCCTACCCCCAACCTCCCTGGGCTTTCTCTGAAAGCTGTGGAGCCCTTTTAGTCTCGATAAGGTGAGAAGTGGGCTGACAGCTGTGGTTTACCACGGTCCCGCTTTTTCCCTTGATAAATAGAACAAATACAGCTGTCAAACTTGGTCTAATCAAATGCCAGCGAAGATCACCAGCTGTTTTGGAGGTCTCCGTGTAGACAGAAGGATGTCTTCATAGAGTCAGTCTGGTTTCACCCAGCTTATCAAAGCTGAGCCGTGTGACAGCTGAATAGGCCTGTGCCGAGGCACCGCGGGAGCCGCGCTCTGCTGCGGGGTGAGGAGGAGGAGGAGGAGGAAGCACAAAAGAAGCAACAGGCAGGAAAGCCAAGAGCCAGAGATGCTGGCTTGAACCCGGGGCTGCGGGCTCAGGAGGCAGATGCTGTCCTGCCCCTCGGCGTGTCTTCAGCAGGCTGCTTTGTCCTCATTAGTCAGGTTTTAATGATTTGGGATAGCTGGATGTTGTCCCTGAGGATGGCTGTGTAAGGAAAGCGCTTATCGATCAAACCAGAGGGCAGCAAGAAGCGGCTCTGGGTGGAGAGGCTGGGAAAATGGTGCTTTGTTGGATGATGTTGTCTTTGTCGAGGCTTTTACTGCCGCAGCCAGCTCGGTTAGGGGGGGGGTTGGGTTATAAAGAGGGGACACCAGCCAAACGAGGTGTCCCCACAGCGGGGACACACACGGGGCCGTGAGATCCTGGCTTACAGCTTCCCCTACCCCCACTCACTCCTCTGGGCTCTGCAGGGTGTTCCCCCACGTCCCCAAAGTCTGCCAGGGACATTGGGCAGAGGCACATGGAGAGCCTGGGCTGGGCTGTGGGGTGTGGGAGGTTACGAGCTCTCCTCCACCTGGTGATGTTGTTTCTACACCAAACTTGGCCAGTTTCAGTGAGATTCCAGCTCCTGGGGCTGTGCCTGGAGACACCCCCACATTTCAGTGTCACAGCTCTTGAGAGGTCTGCAAGGATTTCCTTGCTCCCCTTAGGAAATGGGATTGTTTAGCCAAAATTTTCCATAAAGGGAAGAAAATTAAGCTGGGAAACGTTGGCTGAAATGAGCACAGCCTGGTGAAGTCTCGGAGAAGTGAGAAAGAGGAGAGCAAATCCTGCTGTGGGCACTGCTCCCCTGGAGAGACCAGCAACGACGGCACGACTGCCGCTCTCGCCAGCCAGGCACAGGCACTTTCATTTGAGCTTCTCATTTCAGCTCCTCATTATATTTCTGCAGCTTCACCTTTGGTCTGAGATCAGCCAGGTTACGGTTGTGGGGGTTTTTTGTGGGGTTTTTTTTTCTTTTTTTTCCTTTTT